CGCAGCCCCCCGGAGCCCGTGACCCTCAAAGACCTCGGCCCCCTGCAGTCCCCCGGAGCCCCCAGCCCCCCAGAACCTCCGGTGCTCCCGGCTCTCAGCCCCCGACCCTTCGCAGCCCCCCAGAGCCCCGGGACCCCCGCAGCCCCCGGCCCCCCCAACCATCCCCGCAGGCCCCCCAGCCCCGCAGCCCCTGCGGCCCCCGCGGCCCCGGCCCGGCTCGCGGAAAGGCGTGGTCGCGGGGACTCGCTCACCGGCGCGGGGCTCTGCCTGCGCCCCCGGCCGCCGCCGCCCAGGCCCGAGCTCACCGCCGTCCCCCGACGACCCCGGCAGCCGCGGCCTCTCCGCCCGGCGCCGCCACCGTCCGCTGCAGGCGCCCCCGACGCCACCCGCCGCCGCCCGCCCCTGTGACGCATTTCCGCTTCCGGCGCCTGGGCCCGCGGAAGCGGCCGCGCGGCAGCTCCCTGTTTCGTCTGCCGGCTCTGGCTCCGCCCCTAGGCGGGACTTCCGGGAGGCCTCCGCGCGGCGGGGGGGTTGGGGGGGTGGCGGACGGGCTCGGGCTTTGCACTGAGCGTGCGCGAGTCCGCCCCGCCCCCAAGCGCCACCTGCGAGCGGGCTCTAACCGCGGGCCTCACCTGCGGGCGCGCGCGCGCGCTCACCGGCCGGAAGCCCGGCAGGTGCGGAGCCTGCGCGTACGTCGGATCGCCGTCGGGACCGCGCATCGCAGACCGCACGGCCGTAGTGTTGGTCTCTAAGTCACTCAGTTACCACGGGTCACTTGTACCTACGACGTACGTGCCTGGTGGACGGTTACTAAACACAAAGCAAAGTGGGGGACGGCCTCCGTCTTTACCTTTGTCTTCTAATCTTCACCTTTATCCATTCATCTCAAAGTACGTAAAATCTTTACCAGTTCCGCCTGTCCTATTTTCAGGTCGTTAATCTCAAATTACGTAACATTTAAGGAGCCACAGGAGTTACATTGTACATGAATATGTAACAATAGCTCTTGACTAGTACTGTGCCTGCGTAGAATCCCATAACGACATTCATTACATGCCAGCGACTCACAATTTATTAAACCCCAAGTTATGGCAGATGCTGCGTAAGACATGTGTTTCTGATGCCCCAAACAGGTCATAATTCTGGAGGCGCCTGGGTGGCTCCTTTCGTCAAGCCTCAGACTGGATTTCCGCTGGTGTCACGATCTCGGGGTCATAGGACCGAGGGTTCCCCCTCCCACAGCCCCCATCATGCTCCTTTTTTTTAAAGATTTAAAATCTTCTTTTAGCGAAAAAAAAATTTTTAAATCTTTTAAAGAGTTAAAATCTTAAAAAAAAAAAAAGAAAGAAAGAAAGAAGAAAAGAAAAGAAAAGAAAACTATATCCCAAGTCTGCAAAGTGAAAATCCAGGGTAGGAGAACACAAATCTGTGTTGTTCAACACAAGGTGCCCAAACATTACCTTCAGAGGGGGCAGGACTGGGTGAGGGGACCCAGATGTCACGTGGGGCTCCTGAGCATTTGGGAGTCTGGTATGTGTGAGTCATGGTGTCCTGTTAATAAGGCACCCAGGAAAGCAAATACGGTCATGATCTCCTGACAAGGAGGCAACAGAGGGTCTGGGGTCCCCCGGGAATGGGACACTCTTTGAACCCGGGCCGGCGTCTTTGCCGTCTTTATTTAACTTCCGCTTTGTGAAACAGAGACTTGTTTGGGGTTCTCGTTAAACCTCGTCCCCAAGGCTGCTTGCAACGCAATGGCGCTGTTTCCCCGGGGAACTGTTAAATTTGGAAGCTGTTTTTCCACTCCGCTCTCTGAAGCGTTTGCAGAGCAAATTAAGGGATGACATACTCTTTCAGAACCTGCACACCTCTGAGAGGAGGTCATGACAATTTCAAAAACGTTCAAGGAAAGTCCTTTTACGTGTTTGAGCAAGATATTCCTCTTCTGAATACATCTCAGAAACAGAGAAACAACAAACTCCAGTATATCTAGAGCCCTAATCTTGTGCCCTCGTATGGCCTGGGCATAGCTGTATAAATCACTCTCATTGAGTGTGAATAAAGGCTGGGGGGGATGTTGGAATTTGCTTCCAGGATTCTGTGGCAAAGGGGAAAGAATTCTGCAGTTGTAATTAGGGTCTGTAGACCCTAATCAGTTCATATAAGCAATTCAAAAGGAAAATGAATCGTGAGTGGGCCTGGCCTAATCAGGTGCGGAAATCAGCATTAAGAGAGGCACAAGACTTGAGGCAGCGAAGACACAGCCTGGTGGCCTGCAAAAAGAAGCAAACTGCCTTTCAGAGAAGATCCTTTGGCAGGAATTAGTGGTTTTTACTGCTTCAACCTCAAAGAATTGAATTCTGCAAATAACCAGTTAGCTTCTAAGACACCCGGAGTCTCAGAGGAGACCACCTCCCCCTTACTGGTGGCCAACACCTGATTTCAGCCTAGCGAGTCCCTGAGTAGAGACGGGGTTAGCTCACGCCTGGACTCCAGACTTAACAGAAACTGTGGGATGTTTTAAAATGTGTCTATCACGTTTCTATCACATATGGTGTATGTAGAGGGGAGGACTGGAATAACAAAAATGTATCCTTTCTAGTGCCGGACAAAGTCTGAAATCAAGGTGTCAGCAGGGTTGGCTCCTTGCAAAGCTCCACTCTCAGTTCCAAGCCTGTCTCCCAGCTCCTGGTGGTGGCCCGAAATCCTTGCTGTTCCTTGCTTGTGGCCCCATGACCCCAATGTCTGCCATCACACAAACACCTTCCCTCTGTGTGTGTGTCTGTCTCTATGTCGCCACTTCTCATTAGGATACCAGTCACGTTGGGTTAAAAGCTCACCATAGTCCACCATGACCTCATCTTCATTTAAATGATTAGGGCCGACACACAGCGAGACCCAGCTCCTTGCTAGATGCTGGCATTCAAGGAGGCACCACAAGAACTGAGACCAGCCAACTGGTCTAAATGTGGAACCAATCCAATTCTGGCTTCCCTCGAGATTGCACACTTCCCTTCAAGCTACACACCTCCTCCTCTATATTGATATCTTTCCCTTTGACCCAGATGCAGAGATTCCATTAATCTGTTCCTACAAGAAAAGTGTTTGAGGATGTAAATGTGTAGATCTGTAAATGTGTGCATATATGAATACCTATGAATCTATCTAATATCTATCTATCTATTGTCTATCTGTCTATCTATCATGTCTCTCCATCCCTCTACCCATCTATCCAACCACCTATGTACTCATCAGTTTATCCACTTATCCATTCTTTTACCCATCCATCCACTCATCCATGCATCCGCCCGTCCATCCATCCTTGTGTGTGTGCATCCATCCATCCACCTACCCACTCAATCCCTACACCCACCACCCATCTTCCCATCTATCTATCCATCAACTCGTCTACCCACTTCTCCACCATCCACCCACTCACCCACTTCTCCATCCCGCCATCGAACAAACTAGACCTCCCGCCATCCCTCTCCCCATCTGTCTACCTCATCAATTCGTGCCTTTGAAGCCTTTATTCAAGACAACTCCTTTCCAGCAGGTGGCGCACTCACCACCCTCATGAACACTGGTGGGAGCTCTGTCTTATTAGATCTTGGCTTCAGGCCAGACCAGATCATTCACAGCTAAATCAAGTGTGTCCAGCTAAATTGCAGGGGTCAGGGGTAAGAAGGACAAGAATGACCCTGAGGTCCCCAGCTCTGGCCACTGCGTGAGGTTGATGACTTAAACTCCATGGGAAAATCAATTAGGAGAAGGCTGTTTGGGGCAGGAAGGAGGCAGGTGGGTCCTGGTTTGGAGGATGCTGGTTTGGAGAAGCCTGCAGCCCTGATGGAGCTGTCCAGTAAGATCCAGAGCTCTGAGTGAGTCCAAGAGGAGGAAGAACCATGACATCGGAGCTGCAACTATGGGACACAAGGAGAAGAAACTAAAACAATCCATCCATCCATCCATCCATCCATC